TTTCTATGTATACTTTAGCAGATCTAGGTGCGCACCAGAAGTACACTTCTGGTTTTGAGGGACATTTATGGAATTTCACGTGGTGCGTAAGAAATACATGGGGGTGGGTTAATAAGTTTCCCTCTTTAATCCAACTAGGTCTTTTCTTTAAGGGAATTTATTAACTCACCCTATAGTTTTTTAGAGTACCACGCGAAAATAGAAAAATGCCTCTAAAAATCAGAAATGTATTTCTGATACGTACTCATACATGGATTTTGGTGGACGAGACCCTATGTGTTAGTTGAAAAGTAATCGAAAATATAATTACGGTGGAATCATAATTGTATTTCCGAACGCACTCCATATACACACAAGTATTAAGGCTGAGAAACCCAAGCTAACATGCAGATAGGAACCAGAAATAAATTTATGATTTGGACCATAGTTGTATTTTCGGTTCGTGTTGACACTTAAACGCACGTCGCCTCTTCCCCTTCCTCATTTTCAAAAGTAGTTTGAAAAGAAAAATACTCAACACACAAAAACTCAACCCTCTCAAACCCCATTGTATCAAAATCAATCCATTTCGCGAAAAGCTCATCAGGAATCGTCAAGCATCACTTCCACTTCAATGTTCAAGCAAATTCAAGCAATAAAAATCATCATTTGTAAGTTATTTTTGATCTTTTTGGAGTTTATGTAATTTCACCTACAACTTGTGTTTTAGGGTAGAAAATTTAAGTTTCTTTAGTGTTTGCAATGTTAGGAGTCATAAGAAACGTGTTAGGTATGTCTTTTTTTACAATCAATGACCGTTTTTTTTAGGTCATTATGGCTGAGCTTCGCCATTGACAAAGCTGAAATGTTGCAAGTCGTACCCGAGAAGTATTTCTTGTTTTCTTCAACGTTTACATCAAAAACTGGAAATGCATATCCGGTTTTAGTCAGTCTGCATTTTTTTTCATTTTTTTGAACCTGAGTCTTATTATTAACATTTGTTTCGTTCTTCTACAAGAGTAATGGATGAGAGACCATCTAGGTTGAGGCACGACAAGCTTGCACAACATGCTTTTGTACAGAGGGAAAATAGTCAGGCATCTCTGGTTCCTTCTACCTCTTGACAGATTATGCTTGATGCACCTACAGTCTCCAGTGTCCATGTTTCTACACCTACTTCATCACCATCCTTTCGCATCAGGTAAGGTTCTCCAGTTCATCCCTCACCGCCTTCATCCTTTTGTAGACACACTTCCTTTCCGATGGTATTTAAGGCAAGAGAGACATCTGGTTCCCAGTTGACACCTGCACAACCAACATCAGAGGCCACACAACCACAACTTACATCACAACCTCAGGCATCCTAGGCACCTCAGGGTTTTGGAGGAGGGCCTTCTTATTTATCATTGTTGCCTTGGTACCCGAACCATCTTGCTTGACATATCTGGGACGAAGAGCTATGAATTTTGAATTGTTTGTGCCATTACTTTTTGTTGAATTTATTTCATTATTAATTTGTGTTGAATGAATTTTGTTAAACCATGTATGCAGAAACGTGATCCGCTGGAAATGATTAATCATGCGCAGAAGATCACTAAACTCGTAGCTTCCCCTGAGCCATGGTTTTATGAGCTCTTGGTGCTTTTAGGGTTGAAAGATTTGACCCTTTGTGGATATATGCTGAAGCGGTAAAGTGGCAAGAAAAAAGTAAAGTATTATTTTACCAGGTGATATAGGTTATATTGTATTGTGTCCACATAGATTTATTTATTGAATTTCTGTTCGACAAATCTCTCATTAATGAGTTTAGGGTTTGAATGAGTTAGTTTGTATAGAAAGGTATAAACAAAAAATAAGTGCAAGGGTAAAAAGGAAAGACAACTTATCTGGAACGGATGTACACTACCCGTCACAAACTTAAATATATTGATTAGTTTCACTCGACATACAATACTCATCAAAATCATCATGTATCGCTCACAACAGTGTTCATCTCTACAACACTGAGCTAAGAGAACAACCATATTACTCTTGTCGATTATCTCTCAACCAACTCAAACAATACTGAAGCATTAAGCTCTGATACCCACAATGGTTATTAACTCTAAATCTATCTCTAGAATTTAGAAACTAATAGATATTCATCCCTAATTAAGATTTTTAAGGTATATGTCTATAACAACCTAAATTCAAATATAAAGCAAAAAGATCAAGAAAGACATCAACAATGATTTGTAAAGCATATATATTATACAATACCATGATCAATACATATACATAGGTTTAGAGTGAGAGTACAAACAAAAAAAAACAAAATATAGTTTACAAAAAGAGGAAGAAGATATAAACAGACACTTCTCGATTTATCAACACGATTGGTGAGAATCAACCTCCGATTCGACAAAATGTAAGCTCTATTTGTTGTTTTCAAGCTTTCTAGACCAAAAAATTAGTTTGATGGTGTTGGGACTCAAAAATATCCAACCCATAACCTAAAAATATGTTTTCCCCCTTTTAATGAGTTTCAAAGTCGTAGGGCGCGCTTAGCCCGGTTTGTGGGCGCTTAGTGCGCTCTGCTGTGTTGAAAAAAATCAGCAATTGTTTTGCCGTAACTTGAGAACCGTAACTCCGATTTATGCACAGTTTGAAGCATTGGAAAGCTTATTCAATGATCTATCTAAAAATGCTTAAATATAACCAAATTGATGATTTTTCTCATCTTTGTTTTGAGTCTTATTATTTGATGAATTGCTAAAAATTGCATTCTTGAAGCTTAGCATTTGGCCTTTATTACTCAATACTCCAGTTATGAATGAATACCTACAAAAGAGATGAAAAACTATCAAATGATACAATATTTACACAAAACGTATTTACAAATGAAGTTGAGGTTATTCAAACCATATTAACAAAAAGTATCGGTAAGTGCAACAAAACTTATACACAAAAATAGCTACAATTTGTACTTATCAATATACTACCGTTAACCATGGCATCATTAACAAGTTTGTTAAGAGGTGACACCATGATACATCATTCCATATACCACATGGTGAGATGACAATCACCTTGAACTATGTCGTTGTCTGTTGTATCTCCCGATAAGAGAGAAGTTTTTAGACCACGAGAGTTGCGTTAAAGAGGAGGCGTTGGAGTTGTTGGTAGAGAGATTGGGAGTTACCCTTGAGAGTGATATTTCTAAGATGGACTTCACCCGGGGTGATCAGGTTAGATTTAGTTATTTGAAGAAGGTGTTCACGGATGATCTACAACGTGCATAGTTGACTCAGAGTGATCATGAGCAGGTCACCCATCCTTGGAAATGTGCTATGAGAGTATGTCTTATGTATCTGATTGGTACGTCCATTTTTGTGGACACTAGTGCCACTTACACTGATGCCATGTACCTGAGGTACTTTGACGATTTTGAGCAGATCCATGAGTGGAACTGGGGGCTACTTGTTTAATGTACTTGTACCATAAACTGTCTGAAGCCTATAAATGGAAGACAAAGAAGATGAATGAGAGGTGTGCTATGAGAGTATGCCTTATGTTGTGCTATGAGAGTATGTCTTATGTATCTGATTAGAACGTTCATTTTTATAGACACTAGTGTCACTTACACTAATGTCATGTACCTGAGATACTTTGACGATTTTGAGCAAATCCATGAGTGGAATTAGGGGGTTGCTTGTTTGATATACTTGTACCATAAGTTGTCTGAAGCTTATAAATGGAAGACGGGGCAGACGACCAGGAGCATCACACTCCTAACGGTAAAATATATTGGTCTTATATTATTTATTTGTCATTTTGTTAATTATTATGATTCTATTACTAACTAATAATTATTGTAATACAACACTTCCCCCGCATCTCGGGTCAATCACTTGCCTTGAGTTATACTGAAGAAAGGTCGTGTGCCACTGCATTCGACCCGCTCCGAGGGAACCAGATGACAAAGTCATTCCAGATGTATATTGACCGGTTGGTGTTTGAGGATATACACTTCCACTCATATGTCGACCATTGTGTCATAATCCTATTTGACGATGTTACACTATCCTGGATGGTTGGCTTGCAAGTTGCGTAAGACGACTGCTCATCTTCCTAAGCACGTCATACATCAGTTCAGGTACATGCAATATATTCCTCGGGATCCTGTCGTGTCTGCTCCTCCATTGGTGAAATGGAGAGATATGGATGCTTTGTTTGATGATTATGTTAATCATCTTGTGCCAAATGAGGCCTGGAGTACGTTAGCACCAGACGAATGGAGCTATGTGGATGGTTATATCATATGGTTGTTCAGGGTGTCTCATATATATCTAGTACATGATGCTCCAGGAAATCCACCAAGAGCAACTCACACTACAACATTTAGGCTCTCCAGCAACAATTGAAAAACGTTGCCAAAACTCTGATAATCGTTGCCTAAAACAATAGGGGACGTTTTCTAGGCGTCTCCTGTGCGAGCGTTGCCTATTGTTTGAGGCGACTTTTTTTTTATGTTTTTTAGGAATGCTTTTGAAAAACGTCGCCTATAGTAAAGGAATAGGGGACGATTATTTACGGCCTCTGAGACAACGTTTTTTAAGCGTTGCGTTGCCAAATTCGGCTACAATTAACAATCGTTGCCTTAAACCTGAATCAGGAAGATCGTTTTTGAAGTGTAGCCATAGCTTATAAGTTGTTGTTTTATAGTGTCCACATAAAATATACAATTTTGCAATTATTATCAAAATAATATAGTCAATAATAATTGGCTTCAAAAATAATATTGATTATATAACTTAAACCATACATCCATAAAAGTTGTAATATAATAAAATCGAGTTCAAACTTTAATTCAAGATATAGTATATATAGTACATAAAATGCCTAACGTAACAATATTACTTTTAATACTTTGAAGTATGACCCTAGTAAAATAACTAAAAACATAGTTCAGCAAAAGAACAAAAATCATATTTCAAGTTTAATGCTTTCAACTACAAGCCAAAAAAAAGACATCATCCAACTCATTCAAGTTTGTCTTCTAGGAGTAAAGCATCCAGATCGTCCTCTTGAAATTCGTTAGATATGTCATCCTCCATAAATTCTTCATCTACGTCGTCCTCTTGAAATTCACCATCTATATCCTCCTCTTGAAATTCATCATCTAGATCTATGTCGTCCTCTTGAAATTCGTCATCTACATCGTCCTCTTGAATTTTATCATTTAGGTCGTCCTCTTGAATTTTATCATTTATGTCGTCCTCTTGAATTTCATCATTTATATCGTCCTTTTCAACATCTTCATTGATACATTGTTGCATAAGAAAATAAAATAAAACACATTAACCATAAGTATTTTTGGTCCAAAGGACAATTAAGACATCAACAAGAATTAAACCTCGCACAAATAAAAACTAAACCAATGAGCAAAACATATTGTTTATATTCTTCACATCTCATGGATGTGAATTAATTATGAAGGTTTTTAATGGATGTGAATTTTCGTTCTAAACTGTAATAGGTGACATGAGCTTACTAGCAAATAAATCAATTATGAAAACCATTCTGTTTTTGGCTCACTATTCAGGACTTACAATAGCCTTTAACTGTATGTATGTATGTATGTATAACTTGTGCTATCCTTTTATGTTTATTTTTTGGAGTAAATGAACTCTGATGAACACTCTTACTTGTTGTATCTTCTTTGGTGTTCAGTATCATATGGATAAATTTACAACATACATAGTGAGTGTTATCAAACAAGGGGGTCCCATAATCTTATCCCAGGCAAGTATGTTTGTGAAATATCAATGAAAGCTCGCACAAATAAAACAGTTTCAGCCACTTCTAGGTGTTGTCACTACTTAAACAATTTCAACCACTTACTTTATTCTAGGTGTTGTCACTACTTGCAAATTTTTGCATACATTAACAACCATTTTGATACTATAACATAATTAGAAAAATATAAATCAATAATATTGGTATATATGGTTACCTTTCCATGACATGGAGCATGAGTTGATGTAGATGAATGTATTTGCGGTCTTATATCCTTTGGGGAACTATTAGCATCTCCATGAGATAATCCTAACAAATCTTCAATTGACTCTATATTAATTTGAGGATTGCATTGTTGTATTACAGTCTTAAAAGCATTTTGCAATCTATCAATCTTATCTTGAAACTCGTCCCTTAATGTAGAGACCTCTTCACTGTGGGCTTGTTTCAAAGCATTAATCTCTGCCTTTCTCTTTAAGGAAGTTTTAGTTATGTTTCTCCCATAACAACGTACCCTGCCTGGACACTCCTTTCCAAAAAAAAACTTTAAAAGCTTCTGTATCACTTTTCTCCTTTTCAACCATTTCTTGAAGTTGGGACTAGCATAAATTACAAAAAAAAAATATTAGCTACTATTATAGACAATGTTGGCCGATTATATTAAGCAAACGTATTATATAAACAATGTTACATACAATTACTTTTCCAGTTTCTACATCCAGTTCCTTTCCTTTATTTCCTTTTCGAGTTTCAACAAACATTTCTGATTGAGTGGGCTCTCTTTTTTCCTTTTCACGCTGCACAAATCAAAATAATTCCATAACAAATTATGTGAATTAAAATTCCTATTCACGAGTCAAAGAAAAGTTTTTCACGAATACTTTAATTGAACAAAGAAACATTCATACAAGGAATAATTTATTGAGAACAAAAGAAAGTTGCCACTTTTTCACGAGTCAAAGCAAAGTTTTTGGGACCCATTCGATGCATCCACTTTAGTTGAGCTCTATTTCTAGTGTTATTTTCACTGATTGCCTACATTTAAATTTGACAGAATTATTATAATAAATATTACTTAATTATGGCATACATAGAAAGGTGTAAATTCACACACATACATAAAAAAATTATTAATCTTACTTGTATAGTTTCCTTACTCCAATAAGCACAAAGACTCTTAAACTGGGCTATTGGCACGTTTGGCGGACGATTTTTTAGTCTCTCGGTCATGTTGGAATACTTCAAAAAATGATTCTTCTTAATTTTGTGCTTATATCTTCTCCATGCCTCTCTAACAGTGGTCTCAATCCAATCTCGTGCTTCAACCGGCAAGATAAACTTCCGCTACATAAATTATAAGATAAGACAAGATCAAGAAATGAAACACTTTTTTTTAATAATTAGACTTTCAAATTCATAGATAAAAACATACATTAGTATATCTCCAGAAACAATTTTTATTATCATCTGGCATTCCTGACCAATTGGTGTAACGTAGAGGACAAAATGTTGAGTTCCTAGCCAATGTTCCCAAGAAGAGGCTCAAGTCAGATACTACTTTTTCACTAGGACCAATTGGCTGAAAATCCTCATTAAAGGTCACTTCTACTCGCTCTTCCAAAGTTCTTGCATGAATCTTTTTGCACAAAGTTTTCCCACGAGTTTTTCTTTGGGATGTTTCTATAAAGTAATAACACAACAACATGATATCACATGTTTGCTACCAATATGTAAATAATACATGAAATCATTATTATGAAATATGAAACTAATTACCTTTTTCTTCTTCTCTATTTGTGATTGCATCTTCTTCGTTGACTTTTGCCCGATTTTGAACACTTTCTTGTCGAGTTCCTTTTTTTGATTGATTTTGATTAGAGCTACGGTTAACGCTGTTGCCCGGTTTTTGACCATTGTTTGACTTGGTTGCATCCATTTCCTTTGACTTGTGAAGATCTACATAATCATCAATCAACATTAATGGGCATTTTGGCACCCTGTTTAGCTTTTGAGAGCATTCAGCTTTTGACATCATTGTGTCCAAAGATAGAGTAGATTTCTCTGGTTTCTTATTTTTGGAAGAAATAAGTATTCTCCTTGCAACTGGTTTTTCCACCTTTTGAATTTTATCTCTATTGTTCTCTAGTAGATTCTCATGAATTCTTTTTTTCAGCATTCCTGGTTTCAATATAATTTTCTCGTCATAATAATGTCATGAAAAGAAATATATAAATTTAAAGTATATGCAGGGATATTAACTACCTTGTGAAACTTCTTTGTTTCCATGTACAAGAACTTCCTTAGCTTGTGGTTGCAAAAGCTTAGGTCTCTCTGATTTCTTCATAGCAATGTGGTTGTCCAATTTTCCATCAACCTTTTGAATTCTTTCTCTATTCGCTGTAGCTTTCACTTGAGTTCTTTTCTTTGGTGTTTCTAATTTTAGTAAAAATTCACCAAAAGATATTAGGAATAATTTCATGTAATATATGCATAATAGAAAAATTTAAAAATCACTTACCTTGTACAACTTCTTTGTCACCATGTGCATGATCTTTCATTACTTTTGGTTGCGAGAGTTTGTCTATCTCCATTTTCTTTGCAATAGTCTCTTTGTCCAAATTGTGATCAACCTTTTGAACTCTTTCTTGTTGAGTTCCTTTTTTTGGTGTTTCTAATTTTTGTAAAAATTCATTAAAAAACAGTAGGAATAATATATCTAAAGGAATTCCAAAACATAACTTTAACACACATCATTTTATATAAAATCAAATGAAACAAGAAAATGATTTACTGTCCACAACTTCTATAATTTTCTGAACCCTTTCTCTATTGTTTCCCTGTAGCATCTCATGTAACTTGTCAATTTTTTCTTTCTTAACATGTTGTAGCACTTTCTTTGTCAATTCTGCACTTGATCTGACTTGAAGAGGAAAATCAAATCTTTTAGTAGGACTTCGACCACTCCTCCTATGTGATCCACCATCTTTTACACTTCTTACATTGTCCATTATGGCCAACAACTATGACCTACAAAGGGAGAAAATTACATAATTAAATAATGAAAAATTGAGTATAAATTGACATTATGCATAACCATAAATTAACAGTATATTTGAATCTAGTTTGTTATGGTTTAAGTAAAAAAATGACAGCATGCGTAACCATAAATTAAACTTTGAATCATAATCAGTACTAGAAACACATTGCCAATGCTACCTAATCAGTACTAGAATCATAATCGGTTTCATCGTCACTTCCATAACTCGTGTCACTATGATCACTCTCTATTGCTTTTTGGTTGTGAAGTTCTGACAAAGGAATTTCAAAGATATCATCCGACAAATCTTTCCTAACCAAATCCACTTCACAATCATCCCTTAATGTATTAAGATTTGTTGAAATGTCATATTCTTGGGCATCTGTACTTAAAGATTCTCTCATGTCAAATGATTCCCTTGGAAGTGCATTTAGAACATAGTGTTTGTTTTTGTTTAAAGGATCTTCAATAAAGAAGCATTGTTGAACTTGAGATGCCAACACAAATGGATCATTTTTGTAGCATTTTTTGTTAAAGTAAACCAACAGCGATCTATATTTATCCTTTTCATCCACAAACCAATCACATTTGAACAATACATATTTTTCATGACCATAATAATCTAACTCTATAATATCTTTTATTTCCCCATAGTAAGTCACACAAATCTTTTTGGGATTTTCATCCTTCGCATTTCTAAGAACTTGAGTCACCGCTTCTAATGTCACACCACTATTTTGTGTTTTAAGCCTTGCTTCACAATTTGTTGTATGAAACCTGTATCCATTAATAACATAACCAGAATACCTTCTAACAACATCATTTGGTCCCCTAGACAACTGTTGGTGTAAGCCCTAGAGGCCAATACTTTTGGTACTTGTATCGAATTATTTATTAATAATAAAAGGCATTTCTTTATTATGTTTGCTTTCCAAAATAATAAAGTCCCTAGAATGGTTTATTTGTTTAATGAAATGTTAAGTGTGACTTAATTATGAGATCCCATTAAACATAAGACACTATTCTTAAAGTATCCGTAGTCAAGCTTTAATGTGAAGTGGGATAGCATTAAAGCATTAAGATTATTATGAAGATAGATTGCTGATCACATCTCATGGATCATAGATAAGGAGTTATCAAGTCTTGACATAGGTATGAATATTAGGAGTAATATTTATACTGGATTGACCCGCTATGAGAATACTACATAGAATGTTATGCAAAGTGTCATAAGTTATTCTCATGATGATAATGGTGTATATCACCCTTCGACCTGAAACCACTATGGACCCTAGATGTAGAGTCAAGTACTTTATTGCTGATCAAACGTCATCCGTAACTGGATGACTGTAAAGACGGTTGATGGGTACTTCACAAAGCATGCTAAGGGACATGAGTGACCTAGATGGAATTTGCTCATCCTGCATAACAGGATAAATGTCTAAGGGTCCAATATTGAACTGGACAAGGGTGACACAGTGTATGCCTTGTGTTCAATATAGACATGAGGGCAAAAGGGTAATTGTACAACACAAATATTATCACGGAAAAGGTTTGGTCAGATCACATGACATTTTCGTGACTTGGGTAACAGTGATGTGTTGCTAGATACCGCTCACTGTTTATTATATTTAAATGTGTGATTTAATATAATTGCCAACGTCGCGAAAACCTATAGGGTCACACACATAAGGACAGGTTGATGAGAGATAGAATAAATAAGGAACACCGTAAAGTACAGTGCACTTAAGTGTAATACGGAAAGTGGTAAGGTACCACGTGGATAAGTGATATATGGTACGTCATAAGGTATGATGTCCATAAGCTTAATTGGGCTTTTAGCTTATAGCCTTAATTGGGCTTTTAGCTTGTAGCCCACACGAGTGATTCTATAAATAGATCCCTTGTGATGAAGCAATTTCACTTGATGCAATTTCGTTTTTGATTCTCTCTCTCACTCAAAGTTTCCGTTCGTGATCAACTAGCACTGTAACCGGAAGCGATCTGTTCGTGTGGACTGAGTAGAGGCGTTGTTCTTCATCAACGCTCGTGATCACAACATCAAAGGTCTGAATCGCCACAAGAGGTAAATGTTTCTATCACTGACCATGCTCATTCGTAAGGATCGCTAAAGGAAATTTTTATATTCTGCTGCGTTTTTGATCGAAATTTCCTTCAACAACACCTTCAACCATTCAGTAACTTTCTCATCCATGAGACGTGTTTCAAACCATTGAATAAAATCTTCTCTTTGATTGTTAGCTTTTCTGGACTTCCTTTTTTTAGAGGATTATGATCATTAACCTCATGCTCTCTATAAAATAAATAACTAATATTTTAATACAAAAGAAAAAGAAAACTTATAGTGAGAATGAAATTTTGTATCAAGTAGATGAGTGTACCTAATGTACTCTTGCACTTCATCGCAATTGAATAAAATGTAGCCGTGAGCTTGGTTTAGAGACTTATGATCAAGGGAAATTAGTTTCTTTCCCCCGATTGGATGACCTATTGTGATCGGTGGATCTGGAACTGACTGTTTAAAGCTGGTTCGCGAAATGTCGCGGTAAGCAAGAGTCGCCACCGTCTTTTATTTTCTCCAATTGGAAAGGACAAAAGCACAGAAAAATTCCTTTAAAGAGATTGCTCTCGGTTCGGGAGGTAGGTTATAGAAAGGGAAGGTGTTAGCACCCTTTCTATCCATGGTTATCCATGGGCTCTTAGATACTTGCTCATTGTGTTTTCAAAAAATGTTTGCTTGCTTTTCAATTGTGGGTTTAAAAAGTTTCTTTGAAAAATTTCAGTTCGACTCGTGCGTCAGAGTGTTTGAAAAATTTGCTTTGAAAGCTTTTGAAAATGTGTTGGTGAAAAGTATTATTTGTTTGAAATTAGAGCAAGTATCCTTGAGAACCTACCTACCCTAAGGAATTCGTCTGTGTAAATGTCCTTTAAAGTAGTGCCATCCCGCCATTGAGAGGTAGGTAGCACCACCGTTGGAGGTGTTCGGGTCAATTCGAGTTTGTAGGGACATGGTGATCACCAGAGCAATGGGAAGACACCTTAGAAGTTACCCTCATGCCAGGTTCCCGGATCATGAGGACTTACTAAGACATCCTCTACTCGACGACCACCTTTCGAAAGGCAAGGCAACAGTGAGGCGTACCCTAGGGGTGGTGTGTGATTTGTGTGTCGTTTTCATTGATATTTGTCTTGTCATGTTCATTGTGATCTACGCTTGATTTTAATTAAGGCCATACATTCTTTCATGCTTTTGATTAACAGTTAAGAAATATTTGCGGGAAAATAAATTCTAAGGCTATTACAAATGGCGCGGGTCCACATCGCCAAAATTAAACCGGACCCGATTTGACGGAAAGTAAATAAAAGTGCGAGAAGTTTAAGTTACAATGCTTCGGGAGAGATACATAATGAATTAAGCGAAATAAAACAAATGTGCGAATAAAATAAATTACGAACGAGGGCGTTGGACCCTTTTGCAAAATATTATTAATAAGGAATTAAAATTAAGAATTAAAAGAAAATGTTTTTTAGTATTTTTGTGTTTTTTGAGATTTAATAAAAAAGAATTAATTAAAAACCAAAATGAAATGTTAAACCTAGTTCTAATTATTTTTAAGTTTATTATGAAGGTATTAAAAGTTAACCTAAATGCAACCCTAATTAGTTTACAAGTTTAATTATGAAAATAAATAAATCACTAATATTATGGCAAAAAAAAAGGAAAATTAAAAGGAATGAAAAGTTATTAAACCTAATGCTATATTTTTGGATTTTTAGTTATTGAAAAGAATTAAAATTAAAACCTATTTAATACTAAATTTATTTACAAGCAATTATTTACAAGAAAATATGAACATTAAATATTTTTATTATGTTTTTATCTTTTTTCTGATTTTTTAGGCATTTTTTATATATTGTAAAAATAATGAATTAAATTAGAGCAATAAAACAAATGAAATAATAATTAAAATAAAAAAAATATTTTCAAACCAGGGGGGGTGGAGGTCCCCAATATGGAGGTGTTCTTATGAGGAATCTGGCCCAACAAGCAGTGGCCTTTTTTTGACTTTTGCATGACACGTACACGCATGTTGACTCATCCTCATGATACCCATCAATTCTCAGCCTTTGATCTGATCCCATTAAGCACGTGGCTGGCTTGATATGGTGAGTGTATGGTGATCTGGTCATTAAGCGCTGCATGGGATTTGTGAATGAAAAATAATATTGAAATTTACACAGACCTGGGGTTCGAACCCAGGTCTTGGACGTTGCATGCATAGGTACCTGCCACTGAACCACTTTAATCACATTTAATATATATTATCAAATAAACAATATAAAACAAAAGTGGATGAAGGCTGGAAAACGCGCGCGAAATTTAAAAACGACGAATCATGCTTTGCCACGAGGTCTTCTTCCTCGTTTCCCCTGAAACTAAAAACATTGAGCCACGGTTTTCAGAGCGTGGTTTTAGAGGGCTTTAGGAAAAATAGCGAATAGCGCTACAGGGCTCATAAATTGTTCGCGACAAGTGTTCCTTCTTCGTCTCTCCGCACTGAGTTGGATGGTCATGGTTTGGAGGCTTAATTTTGCCTTATTGCAAAAGCCCTAATTTATCCTCCTGAAAACCCTAGAATAACAGCCATGGCATAATCTCATACAACACAGAAAAATGCAATTAAAGGTATGGATTAGCTTTAAAACATCACAAGGAACAAGAATACATAATTAAGATGCAATGAGGATGTCTAAAATTGAAAACACGATCATCACTTTTTTGCTGTCCAGGGAAGGTTCTATATACCAATTCCTGGGGTTTGAGTTGATGTTAGGGATTGGAATACGTTCAGGAATTGTCAAGGAAGCTTTTGGAATAGGTTTTGTGCCTTGAATCCACCTCTAGCAATGATTTCAGAATTGAGTTTTCAAGGAGTTTTTCCAACCTTT